TTTTTTTTTGGTGAAAATTAGAAGTGAGTCTCCCTAGATGTATTTATTTGGAGATAAGTCCTGCAAAAGAACTTATAAGAAATTAAATATATGTTTAAAATTATATGTAATGACTTAAGTCCATTTTTTTTATCTCAAAAATACCTTTCTTTGAAAGGAAGTTAATTTTTTCTCTCTCATATCTATCTATATTCATATATAAGTTAAGAGTTTGACTAACATTAAATTTTTCCTCTTTTTAATCTATATATATATATATATATAGTAACATTAAAAAAAATAATATTAGTAACTTTTTTTTACTATATTAATATTCATGTTACTACTTTTGTTGAGTATGTTACTGTTCATGTACTATTATTTTTTAACTTGTTACTATTATTGTTGACTATTTTACTACTATTATTTTCTTAAATATTAATATTCAATGTTACTATTTTTTTTAATATTATTATTTTTTATATTTGAATGGTACTATTTTTTGCGTTTGAATTTGAGAGAAATAATTATTGTTAAATATGTTACAATTTTTGTTAAGCATGTTACTATTTTTGTTGAACATGTTAATATTTTTGTTGAACATGTTATTGTTGTTATTTTTTAAAAATATTAATATTGAATGTTTCAATTTTTTTTATGTTTAAATGTTACTATTTTTTTGTATTTAAATATATTATTTTTTGTGTCCAAATGATAATTTTTTTTTTGTATTTGAATGTTACTATTTTTTATTTTTAATGTTACTATATATACATATAACCTATATATATAGATAGATAAGAGAGAGGAAAAATTTTAATGTTAGTGAAACTCTTAACCTATATATAGATAGATATGAGAGAGAAAAAAATTTTAATGTTAATTAAACTCTTAAGATTTAAGAGTTTTTAATTGTTAGTTTTATTTTATTTCTAAAAGAAAGAGATATTATGGTAAAATTGACAAAAAACGGACTTCATAATAAATAAATTTTCTTGACGAACTTAAGTCAAAACAAGTCCATATAAAGGGACCAGCCTCCAAATTTTTTTTTTTTTGAAGATAGGTCCTAAATGATCGATACAGCTTATATTTTTATATGACTTTTTTTACATGCAAATTGGTGCCTGAAACGTAAACTTTTTCAGATATCTTGTTGGGCCGGCCCTGACATAATCAAAGCTCAGATGGAACAGAAGCACATTTGGTTGTCGGCATTGAGTGTAGGGGTAGGGGTTGGGCTTGGATTGGCCTCTGGACAGACTGTGAGCAAATGGACTGGTGGTTATCGTTGTATGGCTGGTGGCATTACGGCGGAGATGATTGAACATGAGCTTTTACGGATAATGGTTGATGGCAATGTTATCAGAAACGGATCGGTCATCGAACTGGCAAGGGGACCGGGTTATTGGTTCACTGGTTCAACCGTTGGGTCAACTGGTCGAACCGGTCATATAATAAAAAAAAAAAAAATTTATAATAATTATAAAATTTAATAATTTAGCTAAAAAATATATAATATGTATAAAATACATAAAATTTGCCATAAAATTAATGAAATTAAGTAACAAAGTGGGGGTTATTGTATTTTAAAATAAAGTAAAGAGGTTCAAGTAAATTATAAAGAAAAAGAAGGGGTGTCATTTATAATTTTTTCAAGAATAAGGTTAAAAAAAATCAACTATTTAGGGCAAAAAAATTTATTTATGTAATTTAATTTTTAAAAATCGATTTTTGTTAAAAACCGGTTGGTTTTCCAATTTTTGTTAAAAATCGGCCGATTTTTTGGTTTTTAGTCGGTTCGCTTCCTTAAAACGGTTGAACTAAAGAATCGGACCGGTTAGGGTCCCGGTTCAAGGTTAAACCGGTCCGACCGGCCGGTCCGGTCCGGTTAGGATAAAAGTGGTTGATGGGAAACAAAGCAAGGTCACCTTTGATGAGTTTCCTTATTACCTCAGGTAACAGGGAGTCATATTGTTGTCAGTTCTTGCTTTGCTTTGCTTTTCTAACTTTGAGAAAGCAAATGGTGGTACATCGTTGCCAATCTGAATTTTGAGCCAAGTCCTTAAACTTTGTTTCAGAAGTGCATTCCTATTGTGACCCTACTTAAATAGCTTAATTATGTTGTATGTAACGTGCATCTTTTAATTTTTTTGGTTTGTCTATCTGCCACTTCATGTCTTCGTCTGAATTTGAATAGTAGAATAATAATTTTCTGCCCTTGATGAATGACAAGAGCATCGGTCTGGTACTCACGGATTAGCTACAAGTTATTTCTACAAATTTAGATCCTCAACTTTATGAAAACTGCCATGGTTGTCAACTTCTTCTTTCTGTCCAGTTTAGCAGGAAAATTTTGAATTCTGATTTTTATGAGATTCCACATTGTTGTGACCAATGTCGTTCGTGCTTTGAGTTCCGAACTTAATAGAATTGATGTCCTCTGAGATTTCTGTTTAAAAAATTGCTCTAGAAATTATGTGATGATAAAAACTTAATTTTTCTCTACAAATTGTCCTATTCATGAGTTCTTAAAGCTTTTGGTTCAGGAGTGCATGATAAAACTCATGCTATGCATTATTGTTAGCATACAGTTAGCAATTCGACAATTGAGACATTCCGGGATATACATAACCGTATCAGCTGTCTAAAGTTGCTATGCAATGCTTACCATCTCCCTAGTTTTCTCATCTTAGAAGTTTGTTTTCTACAAGGAATCAAACTTTTTGCAAATGATGTTCTGTTTTCATGTTATATTCATGTTAGTACCCTTGTTATCTTGATGGAAATGACAGCGAGTGGACATGGGTGTTATTGACAAGTGCAGCATATGTTCATCTAAAACACTTGGATGTTTCTAAGCATAGCCGAAATCTTTCACCGGCAAGTAGGACTATATTGCTCTCAGGGCCTGCTGGTATGTTCTCTGGTCCTGCATCAATATAAGTATGCTTGTAACTTGTTGTTACTGCCTAGTTTGGTTTCATCTTTGTTCTAATGTCTTCTGTAGAACTTTACAAGCAAATGCTTGCCAAGTCTCTAGCGCATTACTTTGAAGCAAAGTTGCTACTATTAGATATCACCGATTTTTCTCCAAAGGTGAGTATGTACAACGTCAATCTTCTCTAATACAATGTTTATCATATCATCATACTGATTTCTTATTGGTCAATTAATCGCAGATGCAAAGCATGTATGGTGTTGCTCGAAAAGAAGCCATAAGTAATGTTCTATTTACCAAAAGTAATTGAGCAAGTTTCATGTTTATCGCGACCTCAATAAAAAAAGTGTCTTTCAACTGGTGAATGCCTGTACGTTTATTACGTATGGAGGATGAAACTCAGCACAGATAATATAAATGAATGCTGTGTTTTGTCACAAAAACCTTATCCCTCAAACATAGACCATGTTTGTTTTTGTTTCTCATGAGAAGGAAAAGTTTTTGATTTTTACTTAAATGGAAATGTTTCCTGACTTAGTTTCTACCTTTTGTAGCCGTTCAAGAGGTCCATCTCTGAGGTGACATTGGATTGGCTGTCCAGTTTACTTGATTCCTTCTCAATCCTTCCACCAAGGGAGGACAATGGAGGTATAGAAAGAAAGTACAGATTACTTATTAGCCTTTCTATGTGAAGTGTCATGAATTTGATGCTTGCACATTTTATCATGTTGTGGAAGGCCTTTATTTTATGTTTTTTGAGCAAAACTGCTTCTTTGGTGTATATGTATTCTCTCAATTATGATTTTGTTAATGCTTTTTGCAGTCAGTCGGTGGAAGAACAGTTAGTAGGTGTGGTGTTGATGATCCTCTAAAAAAAAATTATGAGAAGTCGTCCTTGTAGTTGGCAACTTGGCATAATCAATTTTTCTGTTACTTGGTTTTTGTCATGACTGTTCCATCCTCAAGAAAAAAGCAGCAATTGACTTATTTCCTTTAAGTTGGACACGTAGGCATATGTACATTCATCAGCACCATCATTGTGAAAGTGGAGGTTCTTTGGAACCAAAAGAAACCTGAACCCTTGAAAAGCTTGGATCGGCATGTAAACTCTGAAATCATATGTTTATATCTGTATATTATGCTTGAGAGAGAGAGAGAGAGAGAGAGAGAGAGAGAGAGAGTTGGTAGTTTCTGTTAGGCTACTCTATAAGCCATATGCCTCGAGTTTGCCATGTAAAATTATGTTGTGTGGAGTAAATTCTAAATGCTCAAAGTTGGGGATTTGGTTAGCACTTGGACAGTGTCTTCATTCAATAGCATGTTGTACATATCTCTTTTCCTTTGGGAGTAATTTGGATGCAATACTTTGCATTGAGAAAAAAGAAATGATTTGTTTACCTAATTCACCAAACTTTCTTTATCATGATTTGACCCACACCTAAGCCGTGAGATCGAGCACCAGCTCATAACAACGTACCAAAGAGAAAAACGCAAGAAATTTATATGCTCAAAATTTCGACTATAAATTAAATAGTGAGGATGAAAAAAAAGTATAAGCTACCTCGTTCGTACTCTCATATAAATGATTTGTGTATCTAATTTAATGATTGTATTTGAAAATATGATAAATCATAATCATTAAATTGATAGTGAATTTTAATTAATACTAGGATCTACTAATAATCTAATAAATAATAATAATAATATCACTAAATAAGGTTAATAAAGCACCGCAATTGAGAAATTAAGTAAAAATAGACACGGGATTGGAATCATTAGTATAAGCGGGTTAGACTCTTTTTTTAATTATCAAATAATTAGAGGATGTTTTAATTATCGATAAATTTTATTTGTTTTATAAACTAAATTAAGATTAAATAGACACCGGTCCCAGAGTCGAATCATTGGTGCTAGGTTTGTTTTGCAGTTCTCAAGGCAACACGAATACGACGACGTTCGAGTGCGGTGAAGCACCGTCCTTTCTTCTCTCTCTGTAACGAATCTATCGAGTATGGTGTCACTTATGTCATGTTCTAGGGTTTGGCCCTAATTAACGTTAATTTCAAACAAACTCCCCAAAATGGAAGGGTTAATAGAGAGATACCAAAAGCTAGGTTTAAGAGAATCCTTGTCTCGAACTTATCAATACCCAATTGCCTGCAAAGAACTCAGCTTCATTCTCAGAGGCGCTTACTCCAAACTCCCCAAAAATCTCCAGGCTCTGATCTTCCAGGATACTCTCACTGCCTTTCGCCTCCTTCCCGAGTAAATTTCTTCCCAATTCTAGTTAAATTCTCCTATCAATGATCGATTTTATTCAATTTATGCTGATTATTTGTGTAACAAGTGATTTAGAAATTTATATTATAGTAGGTTTATTTGGATTTTGTTTTGCTTTAGCATGCAGACACAAACAGCCATTTCAGCGGCTAATCTCCTCCATCAAAGCGTAGAGGCCGCATTGCCTAAACAAAAGAGGGTTATGGCAGTGACAGAGTTCAAACATGCTGTGGTTTCTCATAAGAGGCGGAGCAAAGCGCGACAGGAGGAAGAAGGTGTTTTGATTTTTATTGTTTTAGAAAAAAATTACTATCAGTTAATTTTATACTGTAACTATCTCTTTACGTATGTGCCTTGCAACCACAGTATGCAGTTCTATTGAAAAAAAAAAATTAGTTTTGCGTATCTTGCAAACTAGAATTCTGTTTTTCGAGTTAGAGTTCTGCATTTTTTTTAGGAATCATAGTAAATTATGAGTAAAATCCCCTTCAATATATGGTGGATCATCTATGATTGAGTGAAATTAGGAGAAATTGTATTAGCGGGCATCTCAATTCAATTTTGTTATTTAATATGCAAATACATACATATGTGTGTGTGTGTGCACTTTTTTCTTTCCTAATATTTTTTTTATGATTCAGATTCGGCTCAACTTCCTCAGGATGTTCTTGTGCTCATCTTCAGTTTCTTAGATTTGCGATCTTTAGCTTCTGCTGCAGTAGTTTGCCGGTAACTTACCAAGTTGTGCTTTTGATATTTTGCTATCTTCACGAGTTTGAGCTTGTCGTGTTTAATGAGCTCTAGCCTATAATTAGAGCATGTGACCCATAATGTCAACAGATTAAATGTCTAAATCAACATCCTCCCGATGGTATCAGATATATGTTCTGAGTAGAGAAGTTTTGATTACATCCATACGACTGTGTGTTTGTGTTTTATGTTGTTGTGGGGCTTCTCCCAGTGTATTTAAAAACACTTTTGCATGTTTAATTGATGTGTAGGTCTTGGAACATGGCATCAAGTGATAACTACCTGTGGCAATTGCAATATAATTATTTCTTTAGTGATTCTGATAATACTTTGAAGCTTAAGGTGCCTACAAGTGGACGAATGCTTCAGAATACGGAGTTTAAACATTTGGAAGTGGACGATATTGAGAGGGGTAAAATTGGCTGGAGAGATGCCTTTAAAAGTGCATATAAAGGTATGTGTTGGAATGGATGTAGAAAAATAAGTTTCAGTGTGGAGATTGTTAATTAAAACGCATATGACTCACAGTGGAAGTGAACTCATTTTAGTGAATTCATCTGGATAGCCTAATATGCTTTTACCTTCCAGTTTGATCCCTGAAAAAACTACATCAGCTGAAACAACAGGTTCTGCATGTGTGAGCATGACTCATAAATAACAATGTTTTAATTTGGTTCGTGGAATGCCTAGCACCATAAGCAGCCATGGTGCTTGTGATGCACTACTGCAGATTCTCTCTCTCTCTCTCTCTCTCTCTCTCACACACACACACACACGGGTGGGGGAGAGAAACATGCACACTCCCCCCACCTCATTCATGCATTGGCAGGAATACATGGTTTCTTCCAACTAACCTTGCCAGGCATTTTGTTTCTTTTACTCCTTGTTAACAACATTTTTGTTAGATTTCAGGCGTGTCATCCAAGAAATTTACATATAGGGGTTACTGCAGGCGCTGTGATGCGATAGTGTGGCTCACTAACATAAGATATTCCAATGGACACTGCAGACCAAATTGTGAAAACCGCCAAATCAAGCCTCTATCAAATCAGCAGGTAACTTTATGTGAATAATTTCAGTCCTGTTTAGGCTGTGAACATTGCAGAATTTTCATTACATATTAGATACCCACTGTTTCACTGAAATTATCTGTCTTGCTCTTGCCAGATTGTTGACTACATAGTGGATGATCTATTGACCGTATCTTCATCTGATAGTGACAGTGATTCGGATGAAGTGTCCACCTCCAAGCTGTGGGCCTACCCCAGGCGAATTAGCAAGCAGTGATAGTGATTCAAATGAAGGGCTCTCCTAAAACTGTTACCAGCACATTCACATCTGTTTTGTGAGAAAGTAAATGTGGTAAAGTTTTTTGTAGTGTAAGAATATATCTTGTATTATCATGCCATAATGTAGGAGTTGAGGAGGCTGAAAAACTGATACATTTTTCTACTAGTGATGTGTCCTTGCATCATTCCTTGTTTTTGTTTCTGGGAAGGAGGCGGCTGGTGTATTGGCTAGGGAAATTTGTGACTTCCATTGTCAATAGAAGATATGCTGTAGCCTATGCCTCTTCTAGAAACTTCTTATGTACAAAATTATATAAATTGATAATGGTTCTGTAAACAAAGAATTCTCTTGATTAAACTGCGTCAAAGTTTTATTCTTTTTTGGTACTCTCCCAGTATATTTGTTCGTCTATTCCACTAAGGGTAGAGGAAAGTCAAAATTGACATACATCATGGTGAAATAGGACTTGGGAAGCTAACATGAATAGTTGGATGATGTTTTGTTGAATTGAGTTGAGGTACACTCTACTCATTAGCAAGCAGGTGTGAAAACAAGTTTTCTAACTCTTTTTTCTTCTTTAAATCTTGGAACATTTCAGTTTGGGTTCTATAAATGTCTTCGGACTCTACAATGGGGCACCTTGAGAGACCCTGTTGGTTTGTATATTGATCATTGGATTTCCATTAGGGGTTTCACTATAGGAGCCTGGCAATCACTCTTAATGCTTTCCCTATCTAAGTAGTGGACACATACCTCTCTTTTTAACTATTGCCTTTGATGTGCTTAGTGTGTTTTTGACCTAGTCAGCCCCAACCCGGGTAAAAGAGAAGGGTAGCCTTAAGTTGTCAAATCTATGTGATCTCTAACTAATGTTCGGTAAGAAGAAGTAAACACTGGTGGAGAGGAAGGATTCAGATCTCCTCTAACATTCTTTTTCTTTAATTTTTTTCTTAGTGGATCATCCACCATTAATGAGTGAGGGACCAATTTCTATATGTCCAAAATTAGTCATATTTCAAAAAAAAAAAAATTGCAGAGAAAATTATTTGTGCAAGATAGGATGACGTATTGTTTCCAACTTTAGGAGAAGTGTATAGTACTCATAAAAAAATTTGGTACTGTATCACAATTATGAATTGGGGGTTTTTTTTATAATTTTTGAGGGTCATTTACAAATATTATATTAAAACCCACCAAACTTATAAAATATAGTTAGAGATACGAAATCTAAACTTTTTTTCAGAGAGTGTAATCTTCTCCCCAATATTAGAAGGAGATTGGTTGGAAGATGAAAGATCAGTATTGCACTTATGTGGGCTTGGATTGAATGTTAATGACTTGCAAGTCTTTGAATTTTGGGCCTATTTTTGGGCGTAGTGGACTATATGGATGTCCATGAATAAATAGCTAGTCTAAGTAACTATGAAAGTAGACCAAAATGTAGAATCCAACTTGTAACATGAAGACCCCACCATACACAAAAAATCTTTTGAGGGATCATTGGACCAACCAAGCCTTCACTCTCTCTCTCTCTCTCATCAGGATCCTCCCCAACTAACAACCAAAACCATGCAAAAAGTACATAAAGTCATTGTAGGCTCTCAAGTGAAAAAGGAATTTTAGGAGGGTAACTGTTTGGATCCACGAGCAATAGTAGGATATTAAAGGAATTCTCGATGGGGACTACTTTGATCCACCTGAGATGACACACCCACCACCACCAGAGAAGAATGGCAAGGATGGACCCAAACCACTCCACTCAACCACCCCTCCACGACTTTTGTTGTCGAAAGAAATCCAGTTGTCTAACCAGACACAAAAACAATGATGAGGTTTGAGGAGGTTATCGAGATCTCTAGTTCATTTATCTGTTGCACGTCACCCCATTAGAGGAAATTATTCCACTATATTAAAAAAGAAAAACTCACTCTAAATTACTATGATGCATTTAAAAGTCATAAAGACTAACTCACGATCTACAAAATTTAATGCAATTTTGGATGGTGGTAAGCCTGTCAATTAATTGGATCATGATCTGAATCTAATTAATTGAATATGAATTAATATTTTTTTTCCTGATAATCAGAAGTCAAATCCTGAATCCAATATATCATATTTCACGGATTTAAATTTGAATATATATATATATATATATATATATATATATATATATATATATATATATCCGATCAAGCATGGGCCTCGGTTGGTCGCATGCGTCAGGTAGATGATCGTGAGAAATTAAGTGATTATTTAAAGAGAGAATGTTAAAATTTAAGTATAATTTGTTAAAATTTAGTTAATTAAGTTATTCGGATTGAATCGAATAAAATTTTTAGATTGCTAACGAATTTGAATGTAGACCGCATACATAAAAACTGTCAAATTATTGGATTAGACTTTTAAAATCGGATTCAAATTCAAATCAGTCAAAATTTGATTTAAATTTAATCTGTTGATATGCCAAGTTCAGGTTGTTGGAGAAGGAAGGGGTGGGGGGTTTGGTGGTTTTACTTTTCTCTTTTCCCTTGAGCCAAAAAGCAACTTAAAATTGTCTAATTGAGACTAGTAAATTGTCGTGTGTGTATATATATATATAAAAAGGTAATAGATTATGGTCATGAAATACATGGTGATATTAAGCTACTTTATGGTAGGGTTCCCTTTAGTTGGGCATGTCTTCAGCTTGTGTCCTGCCGACTCTTCCACATCATTAAAAAAACAAAAAAGAGACTCACAAACTTTAAGGTTTTAACGTTTTATGAATGTTTTGTGATGATGAGATCTTGTTAGGGGTAGTGGATAAGCTTATGTCTTCTATAATTAATTAATATGTTTAGTTCTTCGTTTTGTATATTTTAATCCTACTAACAATGGGTGGGCTGCACCAACCTAGAACTATAATAGGGAATTGGGCATGTCCCTCAACCCAATGGCACCAATGAGTAGTAAATTCGATTCTTTTTACTAATATACCTTAAAGTTTACAATAGCGAAAGTTTTGTATATTGAATATGCTTTTTTGCATTGAATTTTCTTGATAACAAATTTATTTTTTATTAATCCAAGTGAGACTTATGTATAATATTGTGAATTTATGGATACACGATGAGCATTTTGACCCTGCGGTAAGATTCTGGGCTATATAGATCAAGTACAGATATAACATTTGACATTATTTATACCGACTTAAGGTTTTTTATCGAATTTTGTCCACTTAATTAGTGTCGCTGGCTAAGAATGTATTAAAAATAATCTAAATCTACTAGTGTTGACACTAAATTTAAAAATTTGAGCGACTAATGATCAATCTCAAAAGTTTACATCAAAAAAGAAAGAATCTTATTTTGCACCCTAAAAAATTTAAGTTTTTTAGTTACACCTTAAAGATGAAATTTCTCATATTGTACTCTTAATATATAAAAAATAATCTAATGTGATCCTTTCATTGTTGTCCGTTGATTATTCTGTCAAAACTCACCTTACTGAAGTTGACGAAAGGAGTAACGAAAACTAATGAAATTTTTAATATTGAGAGTATAAAATGAGAATTCTTGAATCTTTGAGGGTATATAAAATATAATTTGGCCAAAAAAAAAAAAAACTCCAATGGCTCCGCATGTGGTTGTATCTACTGATTAAATTTGCATTCTTCTCACCGCCGTACAAAACATATAAGCCTTCATATTTTGAGTTCACACTTGTCTGCCAGCCCACCCGCCCGCCCACGAGATCCCTAATACCTTATTCTGAAGATATCACCCTATACGTTTGTTTGAATATCAAATCTTTCTCATTAACCTACCTATATTTTCAGTTGCAGCACCAACAAGATCTGTCAAGATTTTATTTTATTTTATTTTATTTTTTTATCAGACATTATTTGGAGCGGTCCGTGACATTTTAGAACCTAAAGTGATAATTAAAAAGAGGTTTTTTATTTTTAAAAATAGTATTTTTTAAAAAAAATTTGTTTTTCTCGCTTTTTGAGATGTACACTAGCCAAACTTAAAATGATAATGTTAATAGAAAATTATTGACTTTGTGAATTTTATGGTGTATAAAATTAACAAATAAAGACATATAAGTTGCCATTTGTTAACTAGAGAGAGATAATGAGTGGTTGGGAGAATGTTAAAAAATTCACTTTCTAATGTTACTTCTTTTTTTTTTAATGATTTTTTGGTGTCGTGAGTTGGAGAAATAGATCCAAACTATCTAAAAATCAGACCTTGATGGCCTTACAGTAAAGTCGGCCCCAAACATTATTATAGGGAAAATGACAAACCCGTGACCATAGGCCAACGGGGTGGTGACAATTAAGTTAACTGCTAACCTCAATGCTTGGCAATGAAAAATAATTATGATTTGATTAATCAGGAGGTCGAGCGTTTATTATTGCTCGCCCAATGCTTATTATGCTATCCTGAAACATCAAGTTGCCAACTATTCATTGCCTATATTAAGCATTTATAACCTTTTACCGAGCATTTAATTGACATACTTATGGGTCGTATACCCTAATAAGTGTCTTATCTTCTTCTGTTATTTTAAAGATCCGGTGCTGGACCTAAGTTGATGCAATAAAATTACGACCGCCTATCACATCAGCTTATTCTTTAGAAGCTGTGCTTCCCAAGAGAAGTTAATGCTCGAATTCAACCAAGAACTTATTCTTTTTTTTTTTTTTCAAGTATTTTCTCCTCGGCCTTGGGAGGGATTAGTTCAATCGATCTCAATCTATGGTGGCTTGATGGGCACTCTTACGGGCAATTCTATGCCACATGTCAACTTATGGCTGGCGAATCCCCAGTCCCATCAATACCCTAACTAAACATATTTTAGGGCATCTTTAGATGGTTTTGGTGTAGGAGGATTGGATTAGTTTTACCACACCCACCCAAGTCCAGCCCCCTGTGCATGGGCTTCACATACAAATCATTTCCAATCCCTTATGTGATGAGTATAAGACACATAACAAAAAAAATTCATGTAATTGATGAAATTGCCCACTAGCTAATCCAATCTAATTCATACACATGTTTGTTTAAGTACACTTTTTTATTAACTTATAAATTTCATATTTGGTAGATAATATATATTTCATTAGATATAGAAAGGTCATTTGACGTAATTGTCTTGAGTTGGCATATATGAAATCCCCCCCACCCACCCACCCCCAACCCAACCCAACCCAAACATGAGTTTACCAAAACCCATGTATGTAGGCTTAATCCGTCAGGCCAACTACGAGCTGAGAGTGTAATTCGAGACTACACAAGTTTAACCAAATATAAATTTTATTGGGATGTTAGACCTTTCTCGTTATACCAATATATCAACCCCTTTTCGCCCTAACCTATCAAACAAATAGTCCCTAAATGTGCCAAATTGGAAGCTTTCCCAACTCTTATACTTAGTTCTAATCAACTCAGGATTGGATGGCTAATCACCAGTACCTAGCCAAATAAATTATCCCTTCCCCAACCTCCAACTCTCCATTAATTATAGTTTTTACATCGTTGATTGAAGTCAAAAAAAAAATCCATAAAAACATCTAATTTTTTCTTTTTTTTTTGTTTTTCAAGGTGATCCAAGTGAGTTCTCATATCCCCAATAGCAAAAGGAAAAATTAAAAGAAAAAATTGGCATTTGGCATCTCAGGCTGTGTTTGGTTTGTGTCCTCCAAATCGCTTTTTGTTTTTGAAATCCAAAAATGGAGAAAACATGCTTGGACAGTTGTGTTCCATCTTTTGGTTTTTGGCAATTGAGAACAAAAAGAGTAGAGATTTAGGGAACATATGTGTTTTTTTTTTTTTGCATTTTCGCTTTCTCCGACTATTGATGCACATCTTTTCTCTCTCTCTCTCTCTCTCTCTCTTTTGTTGATACTGTTGAAACGAAAATTTCAAGAATCATTGATAATGCGTATGTGTCGAATACAAATTTTTTTCGTTAAAACCCCTACAAAGTAAAACTAAGGTTTACCTTTGAGATCGTTCTGAATTAATCTCGTCTCAATACGAACACAAAATATAACGACAAACATGGAAGACAGTTTGATAAACCTCACGACCTTTTGTCATATATCCCCCAACGTCATAATTCGGATGCATTGTGGGTTGCAAAGACCTTTAAATTTTTGTTCTCTCAGCGCCTCCCAAAAAACGTGAATCATTAAAGTGATACTGATTTAGAGAGAATAAACGTCTATATATAAGGTACGACAGAAACCCTAAGGAGAAATAAAAATCGGGCTTTCAATAGGTCTAAGATTTTTATGTTCAATACAGAACAAATATCCTATAGTCTATTAATAATAAATTAGTCCATTAAAAACTTATTATTGATCTCTTGAATCGTATCTCAAAATTATATTTCGAACTCCTTATTATTCTATGCTTATAATCTTTCTAACGTTTAAGATTACAGATGTTTATCAATATATAAATTACTGACAATTATTTTAATTGACTTCTTTTATTCCTTGAGACATTACTACTCAACTTATTTGTCATATCAGATAATTAAATCAACCTGTAAAATTTGACATGGATAAAACTTATGAGTTTCCTAAAGAGTATATCATCAACTCATTTAAATATCAGGGCGTAATTTCCTTTAATAATTAATTTATACCATACAAATAACATTGTCTCATAATTCATCGAGCTTATAACTCAATATGACTCTCACTCTTTGATGAATTAAAAGTGACAGTCATTATATGTACGCGACAATTAAATATCTCGGGATTAAGAGTATAAACAATCATAATAATCGTGAGATATATATTATCTTATTAAATCAATAAAAGATAATAAGCTCAACATAAGTGTTCAATACACAGAGTGTACTAGAGCAATAATATGAGACATCAAATAATTTTCTACAGTTAAAATAAATTATGCCAAAATATTGCACTATAAATGTCACACATGTATACCATATATCATATATAAAAAAAATACATATCATATATCAAATATAATACAAATATTTTGTCCACATAAATTATCAATAAAATAAAAATAATAAATTTTTATTAATTAATAGAATGAGTTTCATTACAAAAATAAACTTTTAGTGTGTAACTCTCTCAAATTTCATACATCCATCTTCAACACATAGATTCGGTGACTGGAAGGCACAAATTCAGTGGAAGACCTACAACCGGCTGGGCTCCATCAAAGATGAAGGTTGACGACCAACAACTCCAACGTCTTTCTCCCTCTCCCCCCTTCTCCCACCATAGATATGTCTTCAATCCAAAGATTCGGGGACTAGAAGGCATAGATTTGGTGGAAGGCATAGTTCTGACGAACGTCTGAGATCCCACCATCAAATCGATGAACGCCTTCTCCTTCTTTAGAATGCCTACGACTGGTTGGGGTCCATCGACGCCGAAGGTTGATGACCAATAACTCTGACGTCTTTTTCTCTCTCTCTAAGCATCTATATGAGCTTTAAGTTCTGGGTATACATGATTTACACATTTGATTTTTACAAATCTTACAAGATTTGATTTTTACATGTTTGAAGCTCTGGGTATACATGGTTTACAATAAAATTCACAGATCTAAGTATAATATGATTGAAGTTGGATATAACATAATTGTCATTTGGTATTATTTCAATGATGTTTGTGTTTTTTGGTATTGAAAAGAAATTAAAGCTGGGTATAATATATTAGGGTTCGGAGAAAAAAAAATTCATGAAATCATTTATTTTGGGGTTATTGTTTTTATTATTTTTGAGGTTACTATCCAAAAAGATTTTACTGTTTTCTATTACTTAGAACTATTTTTAAAATTATATAATTAAACAAATTTTGAGACACAAAAAATATTAAAACATATTTTTTTAAATTATTTTTAAATATTATTTTTTGAAATGCAATCAAAAATAACCCTAAGTTGTTTGCTTTTTTGACACATAAGGCGTTTGTTTGTAGAGTAGTTGAGCTTAATTCATTTCATGGGAGATGGTGTATTGAGATCATCCAATCAGGGTTTATAGAAACTGAGAGGTCAAAACTTTAAAATGTTAGGAGGAGTCAGACATCTGAGAAAGGGTAGGACCAAAAAACACAAGGCATGCCCCATCTGTCTTTGTAAGGAACCCAATGCTTTCAAATATCAGATTTTTTTTTTAAAAAGAAAAGCAAAAGTTCCTTCCAACAAAGACCCTCTCAGTAAAACCCCCCCTCCTTTCCGTCCTTCTGGTAAGAGTGAGACTCCCCAGCTTTTTCGAGTCTTTTTCTTTTTGGCTTTTCTCACATCTTTTTTAATTTTTTTTTCCCACCTCTTTCACTGCACTTTTTTTTTTGGAAGTTTCTCGTCACCATCCTCCTAACCTCCACTGTACTACAATACTCTTTTTATGGCATATATGCTATAAAATATTTTTAATTATTATAATATTCTAAAATTTGTCAAAAAATGATCAATTTTTTTTTATGGACTTGGGGAAAAGAGGAAGAGTGTATTTGAATACATGTTTTTTAATGAATTAAGGACAAGTTTTGGTATAGTGTGAAATAAGTAGTTATTGTCTGTGCCGGAAGGTACAGAGTAATAAAAAATAGTAAATAATAAACATATTTGTATTCATATTTAAAATCAAATCACAAACATAGGAAAAGATAAAAAAATTTAAACATTGATTTATAGTGAGGGTAAGAGGTGGTGGGCAACAGTGATAGTAGTAGGAGACGGTGACGGTTGTAGTGATGATTGTGACGGCGACGACGATAATGGTGGTAGTGGTGGCGCCGCGACACTAGTAATGATTATGGCGACGACGATGATAATGGTTGTGGCGGTGACAATAATGGTGGTGAGAGTGGCAATAGGGTGGGGGTGGTAGAGGTATTCGTGAGGTGGTTTCAAACACATTTTTTTTTAAAAGTATTTATGAAAAATAATTTTAAAAAATAATTATTCTAAACATACCTTTAAATGACTATTTTTCTTATTAAATTTAGGGTGTTAATATTAGCCGTTGAATTAAGTTTAACATAAAATTTAAAGGGATTTCAACCGCGAATAACAAAAGTTATTTTTTTAATTTTTAAAACTTGAATTATAAATTATTTTGTTATGTAGATTTTAGAATTAATGTTGTTTTATTTGAATAAGAAATAAGAGAATAATATATTAACCTAGGTACTGGTATAGTTAGACCATCAATGGTCATGCTGTGTTGCAACTTGTGTAAATTGTATGCCTTAAAGTACACTCATTTATTTGTCTTTTTGTAACGAGTAAATTTGACAGGATACAACTTATAAATAAAATAGATATAAGTGAAATTAAATTAAAAAAAAAATACGGCATAAATCGTTCAAATAGTAGCGCATTAAATATTAATAAAAAATATATACATATTTTTGTATACAAACTCATTTTGAAACACCTACCTACTATAAGCAGTTTAGTTGAGGAGTCAAAGCGTGTTGTATCTGCAACAGTCTTAAATTTCAATTCAAAAGTCTGGAGTATGCTCAGGAGCAGAGTCTCTGTAGTCTGTATTTCTGTACAAACTATGCTCTGTATTCGGTCTATATATTCAGGCTTTTGATAATCCATAAACACGTCTCTCATCAACGTCCTTTCTTGGCACCCAGATCACGATACCATCTAAATATATATATATAGAACTAGAACCACAGTCTGAAACAAACAAAACCTAAACCCCTGTCTGCATAAAGGCGCCTCTCTCTCTCTCTCTCTCTCCGGATGGTGGAAAAAAAAAAAGCAACTTCAACTCCGCTTCCCAGAAACACCATTCTCAGTCTTTGCCTGAGCCAAAGCCATAAAACGAAGGAAAAAAACTTCCCTTTATTCATAGCCCCACGTTTCACCCCCTTTTTATTCTCTCTCTCTCTCCAACAGATCGTCATAAACCCATTTTTGAGTCCTAAATCACTACCACCATTCGAATCTCAAAGCCTCAAATACTACTACTACTTCTGATCTGGGTCTTACAAAATATGGAGGCTTTTAGCTTACTCGACATCTGGCGCAATGCCGGTGACAACGCAACCGTCGGCGGCAAACCCAAAGAAAGTGTCAACAACAGCTCCACCACAGCAGCTGCCAATGACGGCGTCCGGTGTCAGGTGCTGGAAACGGACGACAAAGACGAGGAGTCTTTTTTCGATTTAGTGTTCACAGCGCCTGATTGCGACGTTAAAGAACAAGACAATGATAAGAATATGGACATCAATGTCTTTGACAATCTTTCGTTCAAAAAAGACGGCGAGACCAGACTCGATTTGGTCGATTCCCCTAACGATTTCTTCTGTAAGAGGAAAATATTGCCCATAGAACCAGCGTCGAAGCCACAATCTCCGATTTATTTGTTGAAATCTCCTCCGAAGTTTCGAGTCTTCATGTTAGGCTTCAAGAAGTCGAAAGTGGAGAAAACAGAGGTGGACCGTGGTGTTTCCACGGGGACTCCGCAGCAGCATCAACGCCAGAGAGCATCACAACAAGAGCAAAGCCGGCAAAGCAAACGTTTCACGGTGAAATGCAAGCTCGAAGAAATCCCTATTGCTTCGCTATTCACCAGAGACAATAGCCTGAGAAGCAAATTACGAAAAGAGTTCTCCGATGAGTCGTTGATGGACGATTCATCCAAGGGATTACCGAAAGACGGGTTTCAAAAGTATTTGAAGCTAATCAAACCGCTCTATGTTAGGGCTTCGAAGAGGTACAGCGACAACATGAGGTTTTCGGATCAGTTTTCGACGGTCACACCATTATCGTCTCCTGGTACGTCGTCGATGTGTTCGCCGAGAAAGGAAACAGAAGAGAAAAAGGTAAGTTTCCCAGCGGGACTTCGAGTGGTGTGTAAACGATTAGCAAAGAGCCGCTCGGCGTCGTCGGCTGTCGGGATCGTCCCGTCAACGGCGAGTCGAAGAGATGATTCGCTGTTGCAGCAACATGATGGAATCCAAAGCGCCATTCTTCATTGCAAGAGATCGTACAACTCTTCATCAAAAGGTAGTTAAAAAATAAAAACTCACAATTCAAATTGTGGCTTTCAATTGTTTCGAAAAGTATCATCGTTTCAAACTGAATTCGTATTTTGCTTATCTGGGCAATTCACAGTCAAATTCTAATGGGTTTCTTTCTTCTTTTTATGTATCAGAGAGCTCTGTTCTGGCGAAATCTTTGAGTGACCATTGTGATAAGGAATCAAAATCAAAAAATCTAGCGAGAAATTCCGACGAGGAAGCAAAGAGATGCAGCATTTGAAGACTGAATTTTTAAGGAAGCAAAGAAATAGGATGGAAAATGTTTTTAGGACAAGAAAAAACTGTTGATGATCCCCCCGTGTTGCTCTGTTTTTAGCAGAGGATTATAGAAGTAGGGTAGAGGAGTGGATGTTCACTAGTAGTGGTTTTTCTGTAAAGCGACTGATCAGTTGATATCATCAATAAATATATATGTCGTATCAAATGGAATTGACAGAAATGATTGAAGATCTTTCATCTGGCAGTGCAATCTTCGGCTCTGTTTATTGGAATTATGATGTCTTAGAATTTGTCCGGATTAATTTGTTAATGGAAAGATAAGACTCAAATCAGCAATTGCAATTTTTTTTTTTGTAGTTCAACGTTAAGATGTTCTGGATAACTTTTGGGTATTTTGATTTTTTTTTTAATTTTTGGTTTATCCCATGGTTGGTTATTATGTCGGAATTAAAATATTTATAAAAGATAAAATTTTCAAAATTTAACCTCAAAAATCGCTAAAAGTTGAACTTGAGGACATTTAAGTTCATAATTTGTTCATATTACTACAACTCAGGTTAATCAACATAGTTTTTACCCTAATTATTGGCCAATACAGACATAGATGAATTAAAGTTTTGAGTTTAACACTTTGATAATTTTTGTAAAATCAGATCGTGAGGAGTTTAATCTAAGAGTAATGTAACAAAATTTAAATAAAATTTAAAAAATTATAGTTCAAATGCATATTAGTTTTTGAATGAGCATGTCTCATTAATTTTTTCAATAAAATTTACTCATTTCAAACTCATTCAAGGAATGAAATACATTCCGAGTTTTAACTTTTGGATTTTTTTTTAATTATATAACATTTTTCTTTATTCTAAATGAGTTCTATAGTTTTAAAGTAGATGATTTATCTTTGAATTGAGAAGCAAATTTAATCGTTTGGTGTTTGATATGTTGAGAGAAAGATTAAGTACCAAAAAAATTTAGCATAGTATCAAAAATTATTATTTAAAAATTTAAATTTTATTATCTTCAAAAGTGAAGTTATAGTTGATTGAGATAATTCATATGCTCGAATATGAATTGTTGTGTGATAGAATATAAATTATATGTAACTCTTTTTTTTTTCGAGTTCAATTTGACTTTTAAAAAGTACAATTTTGATAATTAATTGTAATATTTTTTAATTATAATTTATACTTCAATTAAAAATTTAAATGTTTCGATAGCGCATTAAAGAAGAAAGAGAGGAGAGAGTATAGGAAAAACAGAGGGATAAATAGGAGCAACTTCTCCATAGTCTTCCCCCCAATTGTTAAAATCAAAATATGATCATTTCGGTTTGAAGATTACATCAGATAATAGCAGCCATGGGTCTCCAAAGCAACTCTATCATTATATGAGAGAGATAGAGAGAAGGGTAAAATTTTAATTAATTATTTTTTAAAAAAAATGGTCCGTAAATTTTAAAAAATAATAATTTTGTACCAACAAAATTATTCCGTTCATTTCGCTTGGACACGGCCACATCACAAACATATAACACATGTGTTCGTTTATTTTAACAAGCGAAATAGATCAAATAATTTAATTGACACAAATTTAATTATAATATTTAATTGATTTTATATGTGAAATTTAAGTTCTTTCTTTATTTAATAGTGTTTACACTCAAAAATAAAAAAATTTAAAAATGACACGTGAAAATAATTTGACAACCATAAAAGAGTTTGTAAAATTCTATAATTGACAGGTGACAAGTGAGATTTTAAGAGGTTCGAGAAATGGAAAAACATGATATTATGAATTTTTAGTTGAAGATAGTTACATATATGTCTACTCATCTCAAAGAAAAAGGTCATGATCAAGTTATGATCAAAAAAGATAATTTCAACAGTCGAAGATCATCTCTATATATATAACAAAGACAAGGTTAAAGAGAGTTAATTTACGATCAAATACAACAAATTCTATACATAGCCAACATCTCTCTAATTTTTAAACTCAGCAACTTATTTTTACCGGTAATTTATAACTCATCTTTATTGTTTTCAATTAATGTAAAGTCCAGTACCTTTTTCATATTCTAAGTTTGATTTATCTACTATTTTACATTTTATAACTTTCTTACGTTCTAGTCATTGACGTTAGAAAATTATTTAAGTCATTAATCCATAAGGTATAAAAAAAAATTCAAAAGTAATTTTATGTCTCGTTATAATTGTTTGAACAATCATTTTTTAAAATTTTGTAAAGACTTAAATTAGTAATATCATACGTATTTAAATTTTAAATTCAAATAATAGGAATAGTAATAGTAATATTAATAGATAAAGAAAAAGAAAAAGAAAAAGGGTGTTGATGAAATTTTGTCCAACGAAATTCCTTGTGTTGTTTGCAATTTTTTCCCTCACATTCTATATTTTCAATTGAATAATTGAAAGCGTTTGATTTTTGAAGTTTGAAAATTCAAAAGAGAATGGAGGGTTGCGACGTGGTCATAGCCATAGGTCATCTATTATTTCTAGACCAAGTGTGGAAAAAGAGACAAAATTTCCAAGGCATCATCATATCATAATGACGCCAGGTGACCACATTATACGTCCCATCGCAGACTTGGGCACTGCCATAACGTGCCTCCCCCGTCAAATTCCAAACTTTCCAACCAGACCATTAATATTGATAATCCAATCAATTTTTTTTTTGAATTCCAATTAGGTTTATGAAATATATTTTTTTTAAAGAGTTTAAAAAATTATTCAAATTTAATTTATTTAAAAAATGAGTTGAACCGATCCCAAAATCAATCAAACTCTAGCCGAATTTAAATAGTTTAACTATTTTACATATAAATTAATTAAGTTTTACCAACTCGAGCCAAGACTTTTAGGCTCATTTTCTGAATGAATCTATAAAAATTATTCAAACTTGACTCGTTTAAAATACGAAAAAAATTTAATTCAAGTCTTATTCGAATTAGGCCACGTATCTCGATTCAATTATTAGTTTTCACTCGTAATAAAAATTTTATTATAACAGTGATATTACATCAATATCATCATATGATATTATAATTTAATAATAAAATATTATGAGAAATATTATTGAGACTTCATTTATTGACTTAATTTATTAGTTATTGGATTGATCGTGAATTCCATCAAAAATTAAAATTTAGTTTAATCTAACGATTACAATAAAATTACATCATCAGATCAAGATATTAGGTCACATTTTTAGATCCCAAATGACATTACTCAAGCATGATATATACAAGTTGAATTTCACTTTCTTATTTATAGATAGTTGTTGACTTCCATAGAGAATAATCGATAGTTATTATCTATAATCCATATAAAATAGTTTACAATTCAAATTTAAAAAGTAAATAAAATGATTTGTTTTTCGCTGTTCAGATCACTTTAAATTTTACTTTAAGGTTAATCTAACGACTAATATTAACACCCTAAATTTAATAGAAAAAATAAAATTTTAAAGGTGTGTTTGGAGTGACTTTTTAAAAGTACTTTTAAGAATTATTTTTCATAAATACTTAAAAAAAATTAGTATTTGAAACCGCTCCACCACTATTTCTCTTAAAATCATTCATAGTACACCGTAACTTCAGACACAAGTTATCTCTAATATTGCATAAAAAGTAATTATTGATTTATAAGGGATCCACTTACCTATTTACTAAAATATTATTAAATAATAATACTATATGATAATACTAACGTGATATTACTGTTTCATCGAATATTTTCTCCCCCCAAGAAAAATAACAATTGGAATAAACCATGAAGTACAACCCATATAATGATCCCCTGAGTCAAATATTGGAAACGAGTAGAGGTGGCAATATTAATTTATTACCCATTAATCCGCTTAATCTGTCTACAAATAAATGAGTTAGATACTTATATTAATTAATACGGGTTCTAAAATAGGTTGGGTACCTATATTAATTAAAATTAAGCGAGTTAATATAGATTATAAATGAGTGCTCATTGGGTTAAATATTTATCTTTTTAATAAATAACATAAGTAATAAAAATAAATAAATATACTAATATACCCAAAAATGTACACACTATTACACCAAAAAATATACACACTAGTACACAAAAATACACACACTGATACACCACCCCCATAACCTACGGGTTGATCCACGACCCACATGTTGACCCAAGACCCATGGGTTGACCCCACAACCCATATGTGTGTATATTTGATGTATTAGTGTGTATATTTTAAATGTATTAGTTTGTGTGTGTTTGTGTATGTTTGTATTTTAGTGTACTACTAATGTGTGTGTGTGTGTGTTTTGGTGTACTAATGTATCTATTAAGAATTTTAATTATTTTATGGGTTAATCGGTTTAATCCAATCCATTATAAACCCAACCTATTATAACCCATTTATTAGGTGAGTGAAAAATAGATTTGATTTATTTTAGCCCAATTCAATTTAAATCAAACCATAACCAATCCAACCCACCCATTTGTCACCCCTAGAAACGAGTAGGGTTGCTGGACCTACCCGTTCCGTCAATCAACTATCCGGATACTGGTCGTGGTCCACTAGCATATCAAGAAATTAGGCAGGCTAGTGTTTAAAATCAGGGCCCATAGATTGCTTATTGGGCTAGTTCCAATGAATCTCTTGAAAGCTACATTAATCAGGCAACCATCTTTTTCCATGCCAATATACACCATCCCATTACCATCAATCTATCCAAAGAAGATAAACTGAGAATTCGACTCCCCTGGACAAATGTTATCATCTTCAAAACCTATGGACGAACATATAGTTACCATTACCTAATTGAGAAATTGGTCACTTTACGGATGATTAAGGATAGAATGAGGTGCATAGTTCTAGATGAAGGCTACTACATTTCTCGATTCTAGTGGCAAGGAGATGCAGCAAGGATACTTAGCGGAGGTCCATGGTTGCTTGGGCAAGATTTCGTGTGTGTCTGACAATCGGGGCCTAATTTTCAACCCTCAGCTGAAGTGATCAACTCTATGGTATCATGGGTTTGCTTGCCTAGTCTACAAGTTGGGTATTATGATTCCGCTGTCTTTAAAAAAATATGGCTCATGATTGGCAAGTAGATAAAGATTTATGCTAAAACGGAGGACAAATCCAGAGGAAGATTTGCAGGGCTTTGTGTTCAAATTAATATTGAGCGGCTAACTTATACCAAACTGTTTGTCAGCTTGAGCCTTGCAAACCAAAAAACTTCACAGTTCTTAACTTAGAATTTTGAGCAGCCAACTAATACCAAACAAGATGTTTTTCAGAGCCAGACAATAGCAGAAGAAAATAACACTGACGGACAAGAATATGAACTTGATGAAGAAGATAGAAGGAATAGTTGTCTCTAAACTTCATTAAGAAGATGGAAAGGATAGTCTTGTCTCCAGTGAGCAATTCATGGATGAATATTCCACGGACCTAGCTCAATTCAAACTTGCACTATCAAAATTTTTTCAATAATATGGAACACCTTCTCATAGGAAAGCGATGGGGCGAAAATCTTCTCCTGTTGTCAGAAGAAGACACAAAGGATGAGCTAAATTAATAACTTTTTTATTTATTTTCTACGAGCTGTTATGTTTTATAGACTAGTTATGATGTAAGGTCTTTGGGCGTATCTCAGGTATTAATGCTTGATTATATCTTTTGTACCCATTTTTTTTTTCTTAAGCTCAATTTATATTTAACAAAAAAGAACAAAAAATACTAGCAGTAACACTTTCGTCTCGAATTACATGAGAGTCATATGATGATTGTTGAATAGAGTAATGTGGTGTGAAGTGCTAAATGGGTTAGAACAAACGAGTCGCATTCATGTAAAGAATTTTCAAATTAGTCCTTGACAGCTTAGATTATTTTATCCCACATTCCGGTCCTCTCCATTGATTTGGACCACTTGGTTGTTTGAAAATTCTTACTTTTGACAAAATTCAGCTATGAGATGATGTTTCACACTGTTCTTTTTAAACGTTTGGACTAAAAAACCTAAAATATGTACCTTGTGCCGGTTTGTTGCTTAAAGTATTAATTTCGTCTCTAAACTATTTAATTTATATTTAAATAATTTTTACATAGATGGACCGTTAACTTTTTGATTGAATGATTACGTGTTAAGCACGCGATATCGTTTTAAAAAAATAACACGCGATTATTTTGATTAAAAAATTTGACGAATTGTCTGATTAGAGATCAAAATGATAAGAATTAAAACTTTAAAAACTAAATTGACAAAATTAATATAGTGAGGACCAACTTGATAAAATAAATTATTTTAAAGACTAAAAATACTATTTACCCTAAAAAAATATTCCGCCCTCACCAAACACCTAAATTGTAAGTGGAAATTTTCTCTTGGACTAGTGACCCACTTACAATTTGGGTTATTTTTGTGTTTTTTTGTTGGTCATTTAAAAGCCTCTAGGCAACTGTGCTTCTAACTGAGGTGTATTTTCATGTGCAGCAAATCACAATAAGCCATAAAAAACTGACCTCCAACTCCAAGCATCTAACTAAATGATAGAAATCACTGTGTATTATTACAAAACATGAAACATTTATATAATACAACAGAAGTGTGTTTGAATTTTATCTTAATCATATTTTTCTCTTTAAAACTATCACCAATCACTTATCTCACTCATCATCCCTTTGTCAGACTCAAATATCAAATCACATCACTCATTTCTATCACATATTTAATCATTTATATATTTCATCCCTAAAAATATCACGTAACTCATTTCTATCATATATTTAATCATTTAATATTTAATTAATTTATAGTTTATATATTTTAAAAAAATTTAATATAATGATATCGATTTTTGAACGCTCGAATTTTATATTTTATCGTGCCTTCAGGCACGGGTTATGACTAGTTATTACATGTGCCTGAAGGCATAAAGTAATAAAATATGGTAAACAATAAACATATTTGTGATTTATATTCAAAATAAAATCACAAATATAAAAAAAAATAAAAAAAATTTAAGTATTGATTTGTAGTGGGAGTGAGAGGTGGTAGACGACAGTGGTGATGATAGGAAACAGTGATGGTTGTGGTGGGTGTCAATAACCGAGGTGACGGTGCAGTGGGGCCGGGCACGGCGGCGATGGTGGGGGTGGGGGTAGGGGTGGCAGTGGCAGTGGCAGTGGTGGGGGTAGAGGTTATGGTGGGATGATTTCAAATACTATTTTTTTTTTAAAAGTATTTATGAGATAATTTTTAAATGTACTTTTAAAAAGTCACTCAAAACACATTTTTACGGACATATTTTTCTTATTAAATTAAGGGTGTTAATATTAGTCGTTAGATTAATTTTAAAGTAAAATTTAAAACGATTTCAACCGTAAATAACAAAAGCATTTGTTTATTTTAGAAATTTAAAATTTAAACTATTTTATTATATAGATACGTAAATCACAAACAGAAAAAAAAATTACTGAATCACAGAATACAGTATATCAACAAATACTGTCGGCCCTAAAAAAACAAAATACATAAAATAGTGTTCATAAACCAAAACAAAATCTCTTCGTACTAAAACAAAGCATCAATCATTTGCACACCACATTCTGGAGCTCCCTCCTTGTTATATCAATCACCATGGTGCAATCCATTCTGCTAGATTTCTTACTCTTCATCACCATCATCAGCTCCACTTTTCCTCTCAATCTCGACTCGCTCCTCAGCGGCAAAGACCCAGAACTCAAATCACTTCCCAACTGGCTATTGCTTGGTAAATTTGCCGATGATAAGGTCACTGCGACATCAAACTTCCTGGTTGATCTAGCTTTAGCGTTCGCCTTTGGAATGACGGCCTCTCCTACCTTTATATCTCTGTAGAAGAAATCAATGGTGCTGTTACTGAACTTGTACTTTCCGAAATTCGTGTTCTTCACCCCTAGTTCAGCAACCATGGCGATGTTGAACGAAGGGTTTGTTAGCGGAGCTTCGAAGGAACCGAATGTGGCGGATCGGATACGGAACTTGGGAGCTCTGACTTTCATCACTGTTAGTGAAAATAGCAGTATCATTCCGATTTGAAACACGGTGAAGGCGGCGATGTAGATGAACCATTTCGTGCGCTTCTTGCGGCGTTCATCAGTGGCGGCGACTGATGCCAATTCTGCATCGGCGCGGCCGTATGGATTGACCTGTGGTGGAGGGTAGGTCTGTTGCTGCTGATCCTTCTCTGCCATTGATTTTTTGAGAGAGAGAGAGAGAGTATTTTCTTGTGGGTTGTTCTGGGAAGGGATTGAAGAGAATGGTGGTGGTGATGGAGGGTTTGTGGGGAGAGATATATATAATGTTTGGAATGTGGAAGTTGTAATGAACACAGTACGAGTTATTTGGAACGCCACCATTGAAATGCTTTGTGAATCAAAGACTAAGTGTTTTGAGTTTTCCTGCAAGCCGTCGGATGGTTCCCAAACGCGTTGGTCGTCGTAGATTTCTCGACTTTCTAGACGTTTTGACTTTGGCGCGGAACGGTCAATTTGATAATATACTAAAATAGTAAAAGGAAAAATTACACTTACACCTTTTGTTGTTTCTCGATATTGCGAAAGACATTCGATTTTTTTAAATAACACTAATACCGCTTTTCAAAACCCGTTCATAAAGGAAAAATGTCAAAGTACCTTGTTTCCCTAATAAACAAAAAAATGAAAATGCATCATTGATCAATTCCTCCTAAACTCAATCATCCCCTCTTTAGTTCCTCATATTTTTTTGAAGATATAGAGAGGTAAATGGAGGGAGATAGAGAAGAAGATAATCTGCCATTGATCGTACCGAAAAGTAGATTAGTTGAAATGTACGTAAATTGACTCGCACATTTTTGACCGTTAAATAAAAAAAAATAAAAAAAAAATGCTAAAGTAGAGTGCCATTGCTATTTCAAAAACCATTTACATTATACTTTAAAATGTTAATAAACATCTAGTAAAGACGACATAAATTTTGGGGCAAATATAAAAATCACATGTAAAGCATGTGTTCTAAATTGTATTTTAATCCCTACAGTTTTAACAATCTAATTAACAATAAATAGAATAATGAGACGGACTTAGCTGTAGTAATGGGGGATTAAAATAGTGGGAGAAAAAAACTAACAAATGGAATAACAACTATTTTAATGGTCATGCATAGGATCCCACCGAACCGCAATTTAAAATTGCTAAATGAGGTAGTCGGGTGTTTTAATCCGTTGTTTTGATTGGATTAGGAAGAGTTGGAGAGAAAACATTTAGACTTAAGGTGACACAATTATAAGAATGAAGACCATGGAACAAATGTTGTGGTACTATTTAAAGTTTTGGAAGATTCTTATTATCGATCTTTTTTTATTTTTTAGTATATTGTTTTTTTAGCAAACTCATAGGTACTTTTTTTGTTCAACAGTCGGAGGTGTTCGGATTATCGTATGTGTACTTTGATGAACTATTTTTTCATACTCGTAAGTACATCAATTGGGAAGATGAAACGATCTCGACAATCTCAACTACTTATTTATTTTTTTAACTTTCATTTATTCTCATTATGACCAATGAAAGAACATGGCTGTGTTTGAATGATGATATCATATCACTATTGATGATATGATATCACCAACTATAATAAAACCTAAATGGATAAAATGAACTTTATTTGAACTTACATGACAAAAGAGTGAGAGTTATTTGTTTACATGTCAAATTAGTTATTAATTTTTGCAGGGTCTATTTGCTTATTTGTTTTAGTATTATTGGTTAGTAATATTATATAGGAGTATTTTCCGTTAACATGAATCCGATTCGAACCGAATCTGAAAAAAGACACGATTAATTGACACAAGTAATAAATGAGTCAAATTAAGTTTAGACACGAATAACACGATTAATGAGAACTGTAGATAAAAAATAATTATTTAACGAGTATTGTAGATAGAAAATAATAATTTTATAATTTTTTTATATTAGTTGTTGTCAAATTAAATAATTTTTTATTAACACGAATATTGACATGAACCCGACACGTACCGAAGTAATACGACGCGAAAATAAAACGATCAAAAATTACACGACACGATTGACACCCCTAATATTACGTTCCCTTATCATCACGTGACATCATAATGAATATTTTCTTTTAAAAGAGGGCTTTCTATGTCATCGGACGGTTCCAAACGTGTTTTACGGGTGTCAGTTTTTGACTTTATATAACGTTCGTATTTTGGAAGTAGACATGCTGATACATCTTCAAGTTATTTACTTCATTGATATTAGATGCTTCTATACAGGGAAAAAAGAAGAAGATAGCTTCCATGTTCTTTCCCCTAAGTTGAAACTAAGATCCTTCCTTTGAGATCTACATGCATAATGATCTTGTTTGAATTGCTAGCAGTATAACATTCTGGTTTCCATAAAGAAAGAATCTGTGGAGATTAGGTGAGAAAGCTTTTGTGTGTATGCACGTTGTGCGTGCTGGATCTTGCACAATATAAACACGAGAACAGATCTCTCTCTTGGTGAACTCGAGTGAGTTAGTCGAGTGGTCAACCCTACTGTTTGGAACAGCCTGTGAGATCCGGTGGTAACTTGGAACGGTAATGGGAGACCCTCGTGGATCAATGAAACGATCTAGTAAGTCTGAGGAAGGTTCCTGGAACAAAGAAAGACAAGTTAGAAGGGCGCCGGAGTATTTTCCGGCGTATCCCCTTTGACGATCAAGTCAGTTTTTGAGAGAGAGGAAGAAGAAAACACTGAGTATATTTTGTGGCAAAGGTTTTTTGTTGCATACCGTCTTGCCTTTTGCGAGGAGTATTTATACCTCAAAAAATCATGATTGCTGTCAGTGTGGTCAGTAGGTGATCATTAGGTACAGGTAACGTGTGCACGGTTTCCTATGAGGAATGTCTTCTCTTTTAATTGCTCGGGATCCTGAGCAACTAAGGTTGTGTCATCGGCCTGTCGACTGTTCAATGAGCTCCTCTCGGGGAGGATGTAATAAATGTCCAGCCTTAGAGACATTTATTACCTTTCACTTCCGAGCCTTACTGCATTAAATGATGTCTCATCAAGGGAATGGTGTAATTAAATGCTTGTTTTTCCAAGTCGTGTGTCAGCAAGGACATCCGGTCTTTCTGTCTCTGATGTGACACAATATGTCACGCGTCCATTTCCCATTGGCTGTGTCCCCTGCCTTCCTATGCCTTCTGACACCAATTGTGTAAGACGAGGTCATGATAGTTAACCTAGTCTAGCCTAGGCTAGTGATCTGTACATCAATAGCCTCTGCAGAGCAGAGAATGCCATCCTGGACGGAGGTACATCTCGGCACCGAGGGGGGAGGTACATCTCGGAGCCGAGAGGGGAGGTACATATAGCGACCGATGTACCCATATCAGACCGAGGGATACGTGTCGGTACATAAACGTACTAGATGCACTTAATCCCTATAACAAGTACCTCGGGGGAGAGGGACTTGTGAACCGATGGGTACGTGATCTCAGTAACAAGGATTTAGTGACACTAAGGACACGTGTCTTCATGTTTGAGTATTTCAAAAATGTCTCATCAACTGCCCCCCAGCCTTCGATCTTCTGACACCGAGGACACGCATCGTAAGGAGACGAAGGGTTTTATAACAACCCCAACTGCTTCATCATTGCCTCTAGCCGTTTTTCCCTGCTTAGGACGTCGTGCGCATTAAATGCGCCTTTTCGTGATTCGCGCCCAATGATGGGATTGGTACTATATATAAATGGGCTTCCTCTCCTCTTTTCTCATTTCATCATTTCGAACTTTCTCCAGAGAGCCCTTGCCTGAATCTTCGTCGGAGATCTCTTTCCTTCCGTTGTCAACTGCCCAACCTTTTCACTGAAGTCTTAAGGTCAGTAGACCCATCCTTGCTTCTGAACATTCTGGAAGGAGTCGCTTCAAGTTTTTAAGAAAAAAAAAACTCCTTTTTACATTTGGTGAGTCCCAGTATCTTTCCTCTCTTCGTCCTTCTGTCTCTTTTGGTTTTTCGATAACTGCAGGTGTCTCCGGTTGCCACTCAGCGACCAATCCTCGGGAAGCCTCCTTGGGGATCTTTGAGGGAAAAACACCCTCCTTCACTTTTTATCACTTTTTGGAGATGCCTTGTCATCGCCCTGCCCCCGAGAATCCTCAGGCCAGTTCTTCGGGGTCAGTGAAGTACAAAGTAAAGGGTGGTGAGCAAATTAATATATTTAGGGTTAAGTACAACATCCCCCCGTATGTAGACATAGAGGATTATAACCCGGCTGTGCACCCTCGTACCCTCGGTACCGAGGATGCAATGCCCTTTTATACCAAAGCCATCATAGAAGGTGGAATTAGGTTCCCTTTGTCCCCTCTACTTCTCCAGTTCCTCTCCCATTTCCACCTCTTCCCCGGGCAATGTTGCCTTAATGTCTTCAGGATAATTATGGGGGTCCTAGAGCTCAATAGGCGTCTCGGGGTAAATGTTGGGCTGAACGATATCCTTTTTTGCTATTCCCTCTTGAGAGTCATGCCTCAACAACACTTCTACCTCAAAGCCAGAGACCCATCTATGTACCTCGTAACTCACCTTCCCGACTCGGACAAGGGGTACAAGGATGACCTACTTATCTTCAAGGGATCTTGGCAGAGAGGTGTCAGTCCCGAGTATAACGGCTTGTTAGGCCCTTTGGAATGGAGAACGACAAGTACGTCGGTTCCTTTGGGTCTATAATTTTTTTCTTGAGATTTTCTACGTGTTCATGACTCCTCTCTTTTTGTTTGTGTGCAGATGTCCCTGCTCGGGAAACAGCTCCTCCCCCTCGGTCGTTGGTGAACTTTGCCGACCTAGTCACTGTTTGGAGATTTATTGGTGACGACGGGTTCGGCCGGGCTGCCCACATCCTCTTTTATTATACTCCCAGATATAAAAAGTTTTCACAGCTTCCCCAGCCTTTCGAGCCTTCGCGGTGGTCTAAAATCTTCGATCAGGCGGTGAGGCAAGAGGGTGAGGAGAACTTGGAGGAAGACCCTGACCGGGCTTCGGAGGCAGAAGTAGAGGGTGAAGTTGAAGAGCTCGGGGTCAGAGAGGACTGGGTTCCTTTGCACGCCGAGGTGGGGACTTCGGGGAGAGATTCGTGGCTGGAGTTCCAAATCCTAAAATCTCTAGACACCGAGGACGCCCTCGAGATAGCTATATCCAGCACGCCCCGCATTGATCTAGGGTTCCTGAGGCAGAGGCAAGCCCTTGTTGTCGGGAGGGGACGAGGATCGACCGATGGGGCCTCATCTGCAGGGACCAGCGCCACCCTATCCTCAAGAGTTGTTAGTCGGGGTCAAGTACATG